CTTGCAGCGCACATCCAAAACTCCCTTGTCATGGTGCTCCACAAAGTCGTCCACCTCACGGAAGATGCGGTCAAGACCTCTCTGATCCCTCCTAAGACCATTCAAAATGGCCGGATGCCTTCCTACGTGTCCACGCAACGAAGGATCTTGGTCGGGATCCCACAGCGACTTGGCGTTGATGTACTTCACGGGGATACCACTGCCAACATGCTGTGCCAACCTGTCTTCAAACCGGTCACCTCCTGTGACCAGCAAAAACTCACGGCTCTTCAAATTGCCAATGATGTTGCCAAGCGCACGATGGATACCTTCGGCAGTCTGGGCTTGGTACCCTCGCTCTGCCGTATCCAATCTCTCCATCGGAGTATCGAAGGCTGTGAGGGCGACACGAAATTTGCGATGACACTTTGGAATCTTTTGGGGCATGGTGGCTTCGAGACTTTGGACCAATTGTTGAGGGGTAATTGCCAACATCATCAAACCGGTGTGTATGCATCTGAACACTTTGAGGCGTTTTCCATTGATGCTAATGATACCATTCTTGAGGTCCTTTACTAGTCCCAAGTGTGCCTGAGCATGAAGAGACAAAAGCAGCGGAGATCGACCTTTCGACAGCTGGTGGGATTCAAGAACACCATGCACTGGATCTCCCTCGTCGAAGTGCAACGAAAAGGGTAATGTGCGGGATCCTTCTGTAGTGGTCCCTTTTTCACCTAATCCGGCAAAGTTCTTCGACGTTGTGGTTGAGAAAGGGAAATCATACCCCAGCTTCTTCAGTTTGGCTTCCACGACGTCTCCCCAGTGCTTTGAATGGCAGGTGGAATTACATCCCTCGTCGAGAACGACGTAGATGTTCCCGTCGTCTGGGCTGTACATGTCCCTGGCTTCGTGAAATCTGTGCACCAAACCATCTGTCATCTGGGTAGGTTCCTCCCCATGAAAGCAAACACCGATCCCTGCGAAAGGGTCTGAGTCTTCGGTGTAATCGATCATGGTGAATGAGTCTCCTTTGCTCTCTTCGATGGACTGGTGGAGGAGCTCGTGCAGCTTGATCGAAGTCACTGCCTTGGTTTCGGCTGCCAACGTGACTTGGGCGGCAAATTCAGTCAAAATCTTCTCTAGCATCTCGGGGGTGTGTCCTTCTTCGGGTTCCTCTTCAACCAAACGTTCAATCATTGGGATCCTATCGAGCGGTGCGTTGACGACTTTCTCAGAGGCTGCCTTCCTAGTCTTTTGGAGCTCCATCGGAGTCTCATCCAAAAACGAACAACAAAGCTTGCAAAACACACGGTGAACAGACCTGGAAGAACCTCGAAAATCGGTGTCCGAGTGCGGGCAATCGTCATATGCAAACTTCGGGGCCTGCTCTCTACGCTCAGTGGTGGAGTTCCCACAGACAAGGCATGTCTTCTTGATGGTGTATGCTGTGCTCCCTTGTTTGGTGAACTCGGAACAATTCTTGCATTTCTCCTTTGGTGGATATGGTGGTTTCTTCCTTGAGGACCCTTTTGGGATAGGCTGCAATGACGATGAAGAAGGAGCACCACCAACCTTCCTGAAAACTGAAGCTCCCCTGTACTCAAAATGCTGATCAACCCATGTGACGAAAGCCGAAGCGATTGGACTCTTACCATTCTTGGTGGCCCATTGGTGGTAATCAGGGTGCTCATGAAGAATCTGCCAAAAAGTCTTCCCCCTGAACTGACCAGCCAAAAACTTCCTATCGCTTCCTTCAGGCCTTGCGAGATCGTTGGGACTCACTGGTGCCTCCGGGCGAACTCCTGAGCTGGCCTTCACGGCCATGTGAGCAATGCTATTCTTTGGAGACGCTGCATCTAGGAAAATCCCTTCGTCCTCGGATGAATCACTCATGTGGGCAATGTGTGCAGCAGGTTTCGGGACCGATCCAGTCTTCGGGGCATTGGGCATCTTACATTGGGGATCTCCGGCCCAATGACCTAATCCACCACAACGAAGACACTTGGATTTCGCCTTGATCTCTGACAGTTTCTGGCGGCGTTGCTCGATGCTCAGGTGAGACTTCACTATCTTACCTTTACCTTTCCCCTTAGGTTTACCCTTGCCTTTGCCTTTAGCCTTTCCGAAAGCGACGAATGCGGCAAGTTGCAATTGGATGGCATCACCTGAGGAACGTTCTTCGGCATCTTCGCAATCAACCACTGCATTCAAGGCAATTGCTTCATATTCATCAACATCATTATGATACTCAAATTCCTCGTATTCGGCATGGCTAGCATGTTCATGTTCTTCAGACTCTTCGATCCCTCCTAGCATGCCTACGAAAGAATCTTCTTCATGACAATGTTCTTGCAAGTCCTCATCTCTCCATTCGAAATTGTCTTCCCAATCGGGATAGATGGCATTGTAACCAGCACGAGGGTATTGGCTACCTTTGCCTTTGCCTTGGTACCCCTTTTGGTACCCCTTGCCTTTGCCTATTTGAGGCTGAATCCTCCGTCCTGTCCAGGATCGGGACCCTTCACGAAGATGGATTCCACTGTAGTTGTCAACCAGGACTCGTGCAGTACCTTCGAAGTCATCGCTCTTGCGGCAAGCCTTCACCACAAGGATCTCCTGCCTGGAAATACCTGACATCTCCAGCAATAGCTCTGTGCGGAAAGCTTCTGAGATCATCATTGTGGGGTCAAGCTCAACCAACAAGGTCCACCAGCGTCGTCGACGCTGAGTGTACGACAACATGCTCTCTGTAGGCTGTCTCGACAGTGGTCCTCCATGCTTCTGTCCTGCGCGAAAAAGCTCCTTACTCTCCTCCAAGGCTCGAGGAAACACATGGTTACGTATCACCTCGATGAGACGCTCCAGTCCCCCTGGACGTGCAAGTGTCTCTAGACCTAAGTCTCTGGCAAGCAAAAAGGCATCACCTCTCAAACCTTCTACGATCTTGTTCACTAGGACACTGCGATCGATGATGCTCGACTTGTCTGACTTAACGGACGAAGCCTTCGGTGATGTTGCATCAACCTTCGACTTGGGAGTACCGGCAGTCTCACGCGGCTCGGGCTCAAACTCCTCGGGATAGTGTCCAGGCGAAGGGAATGCGAATCCTTCGTCTGACTCTGGTGGCCAAGGCTCCCCTTCATCGGCAGGTCCAGTCACGGGATCCTGCTTCTTTGCTGGTTGCGTTTGGGCTTGGTCGTACAGCTTGATGCGGAGTTCGGTTCGAAATTTCCAATCATGAAGTGATGCAGGATCTCCCCAATAGATGTAAGACCCACTCTTAGTTTCCAGGGGGTTGCCTATTCTATCACCAGTGCTACCCGAATGGAACTTGAGTCCAGCAATGGACATGTTCGACGATTCCGACGGAGATTGCTCGGGCGAGCAATCTATTCCGGGCTCTGTCCCCAACGGGATCAGAGGAGGCAAGCGGAAGCACGCAAGGAATGCAAGCTCAGGCTTGATGTTCTACGATTCCAATGACCTGGATCAGTACGTGCCGGAGTCAGGCCGTCACCTGCTCCGCTACCAATGTCGGTAGCAACCGGAATCGTACTGTCCACACGCTCTTTTCACTGCGAAAGCGAGCACGGTATAGCTCAAGGGCCCTAGGAGCCAAACGGCGGCAGACACAACATAGTGTGACAACCTGGCTCAACAGAATGAGATCCTACCTCAAATTCACAACTGGCATCCCAACATGAACGCCACCGCAAAGCGCCCGCTCAGTGAACGGGTCGACCCGTTCAAACTGCCGTTTCGGCTTCGTTTTCGACCCCTGGGGCTGCGCGGCACTTCGTCACTGAGGATCTTTCGAGCCAGCTGTTTGGCCCTGGGCGTTGCCCGCTGCGAACGCTGCGAACGGGGCGGTGGCGGAACGGACGTCGGCCTCACGGTCCGGTTTCTACGACGGAGTAAAAAGGTGTGGGAGGACACACGTCATGTCCATGCTGTTCTTCAAATGGCAAAGGTTTGCACCTGCAAGTCTGGGAAACATGAACCAAACATGGACCTTTTCACCCGTTCACCCCACAATTGGTCGAAACTTCGATGGTTCAACCGTTTTCAATGTAGCCAGCGGCCTCACGAGCTGAGCAAAAGGCCCCCCCAAAAGAATGGCTCATGTGGCCGAGCCTTCCCCAAAACCAAAGCGGTGGACCGGGGGGAACGTCAAGAACGGTGACCGGGCGGTGACCGGGGATGTGAAGAGCTTCGTGGTGTTTGGACCGCAGAATCCCAGGCTGCACTTGTGGATGTCTTCGATGCCCAAGGAGTCAGTGACGAAACCCCCTTTGAGTTTCGTGACGGCATTGGTGGCTTGTGAAGCCGCATTTTTCGTGGCAGTCTTCGAAGTGGTCACTACTAAGAGTGAGATGGGGTAGAGCCCAGTGAAGGGGGACAAGTCCGGGTTGATTCACTTCGGGCAAGATGGACATCGCTATTGGGTCCGTTTGGGTGGTGGACAATGTCGCAAAATGTAGATATATAATAACTTCCGAGGTGACCAATCTCGTTCGGTCGCAAAAAGCGCTTTAGCGCAGTACCCGTTGCAAGCGCGCGCGTCTTCGCCGGCTTCGCACACCTTGGAAAACCATTGATGGACCCAAAAAATGGCACATGACTTGGATTTGCTGGTTTGGAACCTGGAAGATAAATTCACCGGGTTAGGGCATTTAACCAGTTCGGGACACCAAAAAAAGATCACCTTAAGCAAAACCAGGTGCATCTCATGCACCATCCTCGCCTTGCTGATCCGTCACTTCAGCGACTCCCTGAAAGAGATCTATGGTGTACGATGGCATGGTGCGCTGTTTGGCACCTGTTTCGTCCTCCGAAGTCGACCCCTTTTGGGGCGCCGGGACCTTGGCGGCTCGGATCAGCACCTGGGGCCTCCCGACAAGAGCAGCTCCTCGCTGTGGAAGCCCTTTCCTCGGGATCGTCGGTTTGGGTTTGAAGTCCTTTCCACATCGGTTTGGATCGCTGGAGTTCGATTGAGAAAACCGATGGCGCTGGCTTTTTGAGTGGCATGCCACGGCTTCTCGCTCTGAAGGCACTGCCCCGGGCTTTCTTCAGCACTTGAGAGCAGCGAATTCAACTGCCCGAGGAACGACTCCATGTCCCTGGCTCTTTGGCCAAGGACCCGTATCGCGCGCCTGTTCGGGCGCATACGTCGGGGCGGCGCGCGTTCAAAGGTCGGGGGCTACTTGGGTGGCTCACCTGCGCGGGTGAAGTGACGGGCACGGCGCAGAACTTGACGTTTCAGTCCACCGCGGAAGCGATGCGAGATACAATCTTGACAGCTTGTTCTTTTGCTCTACTAGCTTCTTGTTACTAGTAGTAAGGCACTTGTTTCTACTAGCTTCTTGTTGCTTGTCCGTTTTTCGGAGATTGATTGGCCTTCATTTTGTAGCGTGAATTCCGTGAATAGCGTGAATGTCCGGCGTGTAGTAAATGTAGGTCCAAGGCGGTGCCCCGATCCCTTCAATCGTCTTCCCCCTTCTCAGCAAATTCGTTCATCCAAATGTGTCTATGTAAAAATCGGGACCGGGCGTTGGTAACGGAAACTTACATCCCATCTCACGCACCCTCCCTTTCACCCGACGCCGACCCCGCCCCGACTCCTCCGCGCCTCTTCCGCCGTGCGCGGCGCGCGCGCAGCGCTGCCAGGGCCTCCCCGAGGTGGGTCTCCTCCTCGGCGGCCAAGCGCAGGGTCTTCAGCGTCCTCGGTGTGGAGAGAGGTGAACTCGCTTCAGTGGGAAACTTCACTAGTAGCTTCTTGTTCCTAGTAGCCATGCCCTTTGCTCCTAGTAGCTTCTTGTTACACGTGAAACGATTCCCAAGGAAGCTTTGGTCATTATATACTAGAAAGCTTTGGTCGTTGTTTACTAAAGAAGCTTCAAAGACATACTAAAGCTCTTCCACAGAAACACATTGTCCACGGCAGACGTGAAAGCGAGGTTGGTCACTGTGAATTGCGCTGTCCACGCGTGCGCCCAAAAAACGGTACGCTTGTGTTTCTTCGGGTCAGCCGCGCGAAAAAATGTGTCACACAGAGTCCCACCTCCTTCAAAGCAGACTTCGCCTTCACTCCATTCGCTGAGACTCTCTAGCGCCACATCCCTGGCCATCGTCGCTCGCCAGGGCCGGCGGCAGATCGTGAACGAATGCCTTGATGGGGCGGGTCGCTCACCCAAACCCAAGGGCCTTGGAAACCCAAGCAGTTCGAAACGGTTTCGATCCACTCTGATGCTTTGATCATATAATTACCAAAAGCACTCATCATGGTAAAGTTTCATCCGGGATCAGGGTAGGAGTCAGATTCTAATCACACAACACCGGCTGATATGTTGGATTCCATCCTTCAAGTGCACCCGTGATTAGGAGCCCTCATGAGGCTCCCACCTCAGCTGATCAGCTGATCACAGCGAACACGACACCACACTGTCAACCAGAAATCTTTCCTACACATTCAAGAAGATGAGTGAAAAGGTCGATGGAAGGACCGGTTCCCTCCAAGAATGGCCGAAGAAGCACGAAGAAGGTCAGTCTGTCTGGTGATCCGGGATGAGACCCGGATGGGATCCACATCCCATCCACTCCAAGCGAACCAACGGTGAACGTCCCAAGGCCCCGCCCAGAGGGGTCTTGTGGCTTTCCGCCGGAGTTCCGCCGGTCCAGAGTTCTGCCCATGCGATGCTGAGAAGATGCTTGCAGGAGTTCCGGATGTGATGCAACATCTCCTCAGGTCTTTGTCGGTTGAGTGAGTTACCATACCATCCGTACATGAATCTTCATCTCCTGAAATGAAAAGGAATCTTCCCAAAAGACACCCAGCTTGCTTGCTTGGTTTAGTCTAATTTGGGGGGTGTTTATAGGGATGCCATCAAGGATTATCTGGCGCACAGGACGGGAGATCTGCACACACGGCCAGGTTGAATCCTACGCACGCACGGCCAGGAATCTGCATCATCTGGACACCTTCTTGGGAATCGTTTCACCTGTAGTAACAAGAAGCTACGAACCGAACGGTCTTTGAAGCTACTCGTAAAGCTTTTTAGTTGGTCTTTGAAGCTTCTTAGTTGCATTCTTACGTAACAAAAAGCTACGCAGAGACCGACGAGACCGCATCACGTCATTCTGAAAAGAAACCGCTTTGCGAAAAGAGACCTTGCAATTGCCTGTGCTCGGAGATGGGGCGTAAACAACTTGTATTAGTAGGAAGACCAGGCATGCACACCCGAGCTTAAGCAGTATCAAGAATCTCTTGTTACATGGTGCTTACACAAGAACATCGATGTTCTATGATGTTCTTTGCATTCAAGCCTGCTATGTTCACATGAGGTGTCCAAGCAAGTGGAGTGTCCTGTGTTGGCGGCTGACAGAGTGCTGGATTTTCCCACATGTTCGTTCCAACAGTTGTGTTAAATCCCTCTTTTTAAGTTGACAAGTCCTGAGCCTTCACAAGCTGAGGGTGGACTTCGGCCGGGGAAGAGCGCTCCTGTGGGCTAGCCATAAATTTCAAATTATATGCATTCTGGTGAGATGTGCTCGAGACCGCTGTTTGGCATGAGCATGGTTTGCTGCTTGAACACAAGCTTCTCAGCTTCTCTAATCATACGCGAGGAGGAATCCCTGCCCCGTTTTTTTTTTCTGCGCTTGACTGAAACCCAACGGTATTTGTAACCGAATCACTCCTCGGGGGGGGGGCAAGGCCCGTGCCTCAAAACAAACTCATATACCAACAGCCATTTGCAACACAAACAGGATTCATGCGACATGGTAAACCAAACAGGCTAAGAAAGATTGGGTTCAGAAAAACTGCTGAAGCGACTGATTCGCAGTGTGGTTAGATGGTTAGCCCATCTTAGTCATCCAGTCACAGCTCTCCACGATGAAACCTTTGAAACCGAATGAACAGACCAAAAACAGACCTGGGTCATCCAAGGGGTCCATTTAGATGACCCTACCACTACTAGACTGGACCTCCAGCCAACCTCGCCAAACCTCGATCCTGGTAGGACCAAAAACACCTCCCAGATGTGACTGTGAAAACCTCTTCTCCCTTCGCATACAGCGTGACCTGCAATCTTTTGGCCGTGCGGTTCACACACCCGGAGAACAGGTCGGTTGAAAACCACGGGTTCCTTCGTGCGAAGCCGGGTGAAGTGGAAGGACGGTCATTTGAAGAGGCCCAGAATGAAACGCCGCCTCGGCCTAGCATGCTTCGCCTAGGCCTAAGGGTCTCTTCGAAACTCATGGTGCTATGAGAAAAACTCCCTTCCTTCCCATGTCGTTGAACCAAGTACCCCGGCCGTTGGTGCCCCAAAGCGGCCCCCCCTCCCAGGTCCGTCAGGTGGCGCCCGGCATGTAGAGTAGCTCGCCAGGGCGTAAAGTCCCAGCCCAGCCCTGTTTCAGGTGCTTCAGGGGCGAATCGCTGAAGAAGTCGTAGGCCCAAGTAAACCTCAGAGGACGGTTTTCTGGAAGCGCGGAGGAAGTAGGTGCAAGTAGGTTCAACAGGAAGGTGCCCCTGTGGGGTGAACCAATAGGTGCCACCTGTACTCGAGGCTGAAAAGATCTGTCACATCTGGAGAGGATGAATGGCCCCGGGCAATCCCAGGCCGTCAGTGGACAATTCAACAGAAGCTTAAGTTGAGCTTTAAGCATTCTGTTGAGCCTCAGTCGGCTCTGTGGCTTTCTCGAGTTCACAAGTACCTGGTCAAGGCGTCTGCTCATGGCAACCGTCTTCACTGCAAGGAGCAAATCCATTCATGCGGAACACAAGATTCTTCAAACTCTGGACTTATCCATCAACCATCCGGCCAACACTTGGGTCAAATAAACACTGCTGCCGTTGGTGCACAACTTGTCCTAGAAATCCCAGGGGCTTTTTGCCCGCTGATGGCTTGTTGCTATGCACCAGTGACAACAAAGGAAAGAACTGAGCCCTCTGGTTCCTCAAGTGTGTGGCTTCTGGCCAACTCATTTACAATCCAGCCCATGGAGACCAGTCCGTCCCAAAAGGTTCCAAAGCAGTCAGGTTTTTCGCTCCGTTGCTCAGTCAGTCAGTTGGAGGCGAGGAAGGACCCAAAAGCCTCATGCTGCCGAACACACCCGGGGGATCCAAAGAAGGCAAGTTGCTGGCTGATCCTCAGAGCACGACTCGGCCAAGGACGAAGCAACTTCCTCGTCACTGAACAGTACTTTTGATGGGTGTACAGTGTACATAACAGCTATATACATAAAAGATATGTGCATATATGGCACCAATAGCATGAAGCATGGCCTAAGGCAGCTTCTTTGCCGGCTTTTTGGGGTGTGGCCAATGGTTTGTGGCAATTTTGGCCATCTGTTCCTTTGCTCTTCTGGCTACAATCTTGCCGTGCCTCTTGAAAATCCCTGGGTTCCACCGGATGAGATCGATCCCCGATTCGACGGCCAGGTTTTGGGTCTTCCGCTTCGGGTGGGACCTAAGTGCTTGGCAAATGCTTTTCTGCATCATCGCCTGCATCGGGCGGCAGTTGTGCATGAAATCGGGTTGAAAAGAAGCTTCGCTGGAAGACCAGGAGGCGCTTTAACCTCGAGCGGAGTCCCGGAGATGGCCTTCTTCGGCTCGCTTGTCATCCTCACCCATCGCCAAGACCTCTATCTTCTTTCAGCCAAGCCTCCCCTCGAAGCCTGACGCAACCGGCGAAGGGCTGAACCCGACCGTGTTGGTTTCGAAGGGCTGAACCAACGAGCTGGACGACGTCTGTTGCGGTCGTTCAGGATCGCATCCTGCCCTGCAGATATCCACAGACCTGAGATAAGGTACGACTGGACCCTAAAAAAGAAAAAGTAACAGTGCCTCCAATCCCCTTCTCAGGGCTGGAATACCATGAACGTTACTTGGCCAAAGGGACTGGATTTCTATGCTGAACAATCTCGTCTCAAACAATCTGAAGTGGACAGCCCAACAAATCTCACCAAGAACATCATTTTGGCTTCAAGCTGGTCCGGGACACCTGCAAGGACACCTGGGTGGTCGCGTTTTTTCAACATTGGACTTGCTATCGCATGGGTCGCATGGGACATCTGTTCGAGCACCGAACCTTCGCAGTGCGTTGAAACAAGTCCAGCGCAGTCGGAGGAAGCAAAGACTCGGAGAAGATTCCGCCAGCAGCGCATGGATCGCAGGGGCAGCAGGCAGTACTACTTGGCATCGATTTGCTGGTCCCAAAAGCAATCCCCCAAAACGAGATGGCAAGCAAATGCTCTTCTGCAGGCGTCGAACGCCTTCTCCAACCACTTTCGACGCGCCCAGTCTCCGCCACCCAGTCGTCTCCGTCGGTCTCCGTCTCGCGCCTGGCACTTGGAGCCGCTCCAGGCGCCGCCGCGCCGCGGGCGGCAGCATCACCACGTCTTTACAGCCGCTGTGCAGCACGCAAAGTACATCTTCTCGGTCGGCGTCACACGGCTTCACGGGCGTTCGGCTGAAGCGGCGGACAAGACAGGACTCACATCACCAAACGGTCGGGCTTTGGATGGGTTGGCTTTTGGGCAAGAGGAACAAGAAAGGAACTATCCCAGTCAGTAGTGTGTTTCTATGTTTTGCAAAAACATGAGACGAACAGTTTCGCACCCTCACTGCAACATCGGAAAAGACATGAGAACTGGTGAAGCAACTGTGTCCACAAGAACCATCAGCAGTTGCAAGGTTGAGAACCTCAGCTTGCGGTGGTAACCTCATCTTTCGGTCATTAAAAGCAAAAGAATAGAACATAGATCGCCCTTACTTGACACATGCAGGTGGCGTATGGCATTTTGCAAAGACAGGTGCTCAATAATTTATCTGCAAGGCAAACGGCATAATGTTATATTTATGAATGTGTATATATATATATAGGGCTCAAACCAACAGTTTTAGAAAATGAACATACTTCAGGGACACCCCAATCAATGATATGCAATGGTATGAGGTGAGCTAGCTGCTTTTTACAAGATGCAAGGTCCATGAACAAGGAGAGAGGAAGGGACTGTCCTCGCTTGTCCAATGTGTTGCAAAGGACTTCTCTCTAGCAATGTCATACGGATATAGTTTCAATACTGGAACGTTTCTTTTTGAAACAGCTTACAAATGCATAGAATCGGCATAGAAGATCATCCACCCATTGCACGATCAGTAATCACAATTGGCCAATTCCAACTCAGGTCCCATCTGGCAACACATATATAGTACAGTAGGAGCCAGCCCCCATTGGTAAACCGAGCAGCCAAATCATAGCAAGTCTTTCCTCCCAATCTACTTGTCAGGTGCATGATGCTTGCAAGCTCATCGCAAGTCTTCTGAGCTGTAGATGATCTCATCAAGGAACAAATCGATTAAACATATTAAATATTATAGAATGTGTTAAGAAAACCAATGGACCAGGGTAGTTGAAAACAGATTCCACTCTCAAGAATGGTCCACTGCAGGATTGGATGGGGAAGCCCTTGGAAGGGTCCATCAGCTTCTCTACAACTCGCTCCTTGATGGCTTCGTTCGAACTCCCTCTCACCGATCGAGACCGGTCGGGAAATCGGCCAGTCTACGGGGTCTCCCTGTTTCATTGATTGCACCCATATATATATATATAATATATATAACCCATATAAATAAAAAAAGAATTCCACCTTCCCCAAGGCTTTTTTCCTGCACACTGCCCCAGATGTCTCCAAAATGCCCGATCTATCCTGCATCCAAAATGCCATCAGGTAAATCCCGGTGCAAGGGATAAGAGTAGCTCTTTGGTCCTCCATAAAAGACTCTGGCATCGCTTTCCTCAGCAATGGCCGGTGGAAGAAGCAGGTGGTGACAGTGATGGTCCAATGTAAATCAACCCACAGCCCATCAACCCTAGCCGCTAGCCGTCCAACTACGCCTCCCTTACAAACATGGAAGCGGAACGTGGCCTGTTGGAAGACTGTTTTCCTCTACCAACTACCAACAGGCCACTTTCCACTTCCATGCGTGGTACGCGACCAGATCCACGACCGATCATGACCTTTCACCACTCCACGGGCGCGTTCGGGCGCACAAAGGGGCCGTCCAAGCTGCATGCCGCAAGCCGATGTCCTCGATGCCCTGAAGCGTCTGCCAGGGCACCTGAAGTCCGATCAGAAGCGGCCCCTCCACGATCTTCAGCTGAAAGAAAACAGGCGAACTGATGCGTTTAGGCCTAAATCCGCTGGAGAAGTGAGACCGTTTCACATGCTGCACGTCAGAAAACTCTTGGCACACAGAAAAAAAACAAGCCCACCAGGACGAGACATGACATGTTTGGATTTCTGCGATGAACCCACCCCTTTGAGGACCGCTGATCTGTTAAATTAGGATCCATCCTAGCCTAGCTCCCAAGTTCCTCTATGATGAAAGGAGGTTCTACCGATCAAAATGACCATCAAGTACAGTACAACAAACTGTCGCGCTTTCTTACCAAAAAAACACCCGCAATTTCAAGTGTTGCTTGAAAACCCTGGACTTGCCCCAACCTGGCACACGATGTTCTGATGTGTCTTTCCCCGAAGCCGTTTTCGGCCCGACCTTACGGTTCTGCAGGCGCTCGAAGGCGTGCTGCTCGTAGCTGCTGAGCTCCGCATGCGGCCGCAAGGCCGGGCAGATGTCGTCCCTGAGAGGGGAACCCACACGCGTCACGCGTCGACCACGTTGGGGAACGCGTTGGGTCCGGACGTAGGACGGATCGCCTCCAATAGCAATGGCCAGCAAGGACACCCACCGAATCGAAGGATTGGAAGAAACATGTTTGGCCTCGGCTTTGATGCAAGTTTTATTGATCTGTATTCCAGCAGAAGCACGGTAGCTCACCGTGGCCATGGGGGTGTTGGACGGTGCATCGGATTGCAACATTCCAAATGCCGTCAAATACCACAGGAGTGCAGAAGCCATCCTAAATATCTGAGTTTGTGAATGGCCCCTTTTAAATGCAAAAGATCCCTAATTGCAGTACCCCAGAGCACTTGCTTTTCGCTTGTGGTTGCTTCGGATTGGGATAGGCGGGGCTCTTTCTTTGTGGTAGACGCGGTCATCAGAAAAGTAGAGTAAAGGATTTGGCTACTTTACCAAAAGTTCGCTGGAGCTTGGTCTTTCTGAAATCACTCACTACCCAGTTTGTAGAACAAAAGCAGCAGCTGCAGCAGCAACAGCAACCCAAAGGATAGTCACATGCATCTCCTCCCCACAACCGTGCCAGAAATACTCAGCCATGCTCCACCCAGCACCTCGCGAAACCTGCTAACCTCTTCCAGCAACTGCCGAAGCTCCAAGTCCCCCCAAAAGAAACAACTTGGGGGAACACCCAAGGATTCTTCTCTCCTAAAGTGGTCGAACTGGGTTGTTTCTCCTCCCAGCCGAGTGGAGCCTCCCCAAAATGGGCGACAGCCCGTCTCAATGCACAAGGAATCTCCCCCTACTACTGGATCCTCCGGTACCAAGAATGCCTTCTGCATAGAGATGCTGAAGTCATTCTGATCATAGGACTTGCAGCTGCTATGTTCCAACCACAAACTGCTCGCAGACTATTGGTGCTCTTCTAAGCAAGATCTGCCTGAAACTTGTCTTGCACAAAGCCACCGACTCACAGACTCACTGCGCAACCTCATGCACAGGTGCATGCGGACAGACTCATGGTGCCACCAAGGAGTCAGTCGCAAACAGAGAGCCACAATCACGTCATTGAAACTCTTGAGGACCGTAAACCCCCCCAATTGAAGTGGAAAGTATCTTCATATCGGGGGGGTTCACGGTCCTCAAGAGTCTAGGGGGTACATGATGTGCCTCCAATCGTGGAAAGTCGTGTCAAAGGGAAACCAGACAGTCCTTGTTCAACGAAAACAAACGTCGAACAGTCGGTTTCCCCCAAAAAAAGGATCCAACAAAAAGACGGGAACCGAACCGAACCTGTGTCCTGTGTCCCGTGTCGAAGCTGAAGGGCATCCAGCGAATCCGACCGAACTCGGTCCACCGAACTCGGTCGACCGAATCGCAGGACCGAGGCGCAGCACCTTGTCGGCCAGGTACACCTTGCCACGCGGGATGCGTTTGGAGTTCGTCCGACTGACCTTCGGGTGGGTTCGGGTGGGAGAAACCCCGAAAAGAGGGAGTTCTGGCACTGATTTCTGCGTTTCCTTCCGGTGCGGAGAGTCAGCTAAGTCCACTAGTAGTACAGGTCTAGAATGAATGCTCAACTAGGAACTGGTCGCAGAGGCGAGTGGGACACCTCTGAGACAGGTCTGTCAAGCGCGTGCCCTTCTGACAGGGTCCAGCAAAGGTTGCCCTTCCAATTAAATATCATACCCTAAGCTTCCGTTCGACCAAATCAAAAATTGTTGACCTGGTGGTAAAACATGGGTTCTTCGGAATTCAGGCTGCGTCTATTACATCGATCTCACAACAATGCACATGTCCACTCATGTCACACACATGCCCCCTTTTGGGCGTCACAGCAACGCCCAAAAGGGCGTCCTCCCGACCGGTCGACCGACCACCTGTCACCTGGGCCTTCGGGCAGGCTGCGAGATGAGCTTGGCGACCGCCGACCTGAAAGCGGTGAGGCTCCGGCGCAGACATCCGGAGACGGGGCCGCGGACCGCGTGTCTCGGCGAAGGAAGCCTCTTACGAAAAGGACTGGTTTCCGGTGAATTCATTGTTTGGTCCCTCCCACAGCCAAACCCTTAAACCAAAAAAATGTGTTCATGTCAGAAAAGGATCTCAAGAGATCTCAAGAGATCGCTCCACTCACTTCCCGTGCGGGGCGGGCCAGACCTTTGACGGACTCGGTTGACCGATCTCCGGACTCGCCAGCGGGGGACCTCAAAAAGGCGGCGCGTTACATAGCTATATCCCCAAAAACTATATGACCAGACCGGAACCCGGTATGACCACGTTGAGGATATATCTGATAAAGTCCATCGTATGGGATAAATGATCCGGGAGATCTCCCGGAAATTCAAGGATCCTCTTCCAGTGCTGACTGACCGACCCCCCACCTCTTGGATGCATAGCTTTCGGTCCGTGGAAGTCGAGTCTGAGGGATCGTTCCGAACTCCGGTCTTTCTAAGGACCCTTCTTCTTATATAGTCTTGAAAGGGCCTCCACTGCTCGGGCCACGGCTGTGGCTTGGACAGAACATCGCTACAGCGAGTAATAGCGCTAGAGTCTTAAAATAACACGAGCTGTGGCTTCGACCGATTCGCAAGTCGCACTATAGTCAAAAAAAATAGATGTCCAACAAGCCACCCAGTAGTTGACGCTGTTTTTGCTTCGCTACTATAGACGACTGAAACGCGAGATCGACGGAACACATGACGAACGGGAAGCCGGTGCCAAGTGGGTGAATTCGGTGCCCCACTTTGAACTGATACAACTCATCATGTAGAGGTGGCACCGGGTGATGTTGGTTGACCACCGATCAGAACAACATAGACGACCTGGGAGGTAAGCCTACCAGGGTGAGTTCTGGGCACAAAGGTCACCCACAGTCAGGTCAAAACTTCTCACCCCCTACCGGTGAACCAAGAGTTCTGAAGCCCCAAGAGTCACCCGACTGGTGAGTGGTAGAGCGGCAGGTGCAGCAGCAGCTTGTTGTCCAGGAAGGCAGCGACCGTGTGCAGCAGGCGCACGGCAGCCGGAGGACCACGAAAGCTGGCGTAGAGGCTTATTAACGGGTCAATCGCCCAACCAAACCACAGGGTAGCAGACATCTGGCAAAAGAGGGAGTCAACGTCGCCTGGAAAAAGACCCAACCGGAGTTGTGGGTTCAGGGGCCCGTCTCCCTATTCAAAATACAAACCCACAAATGGGTTCGACCAGTCACTGTTCCCTAGAGTCAGAGTGGACGGAATCGACATGACTGCGCTTGATTTCAACACATCTTCTCCCTTTTCCACCTGGGGCGGGGGATCAGCATCCCCCCCCCAACAAGAAGCCTTGGATGGTCGCCTTCCTCTACAGGTGACACCTGGTGACGCGGAGTGAACTCCACCGCTTCTAACAATAGGTGACCTTCTTGGGACGAAGTGACCTCATGGAGATGATCTCAAAAGGTCACGAACTGAAGGTCCTGGATAGTAAAGTAATATTCCCATGAACTTTCCACAGGGGGGGTCTTGCTTATCATAGAGGAAAAGTTCATCGGTATGTCACGGTATGTCATAATAATACAGTAATAATAAAAATAATAGTAATAATAACAGTCGAAGAGGGCCATGATGACTTCAGGAAATGTTGGTCACTTCAAGGAAGGTCTTTCCATCAGGGTAGGTCAAAGGTTCTTTGCTGCTGCTGGTTGAAGAACTTGGCCGACCCTGCTGAAGAACCTGTCTCACCAAACACCGACCCAACTACTGACCCTTCGGAGGGGAGGTTTTTGGGTCGACCCACGCGTCGAATCCAACCCATGTCCGCGTGTGACCCGCGTGTAGATGAAAAAATAGAACATGGTGTGTTTTCGAAGAAGCCGTGATGGGGAAAAAACTCTTTGAACAATGTTTGGTGTGTTTTCAAAGAATTATATAAAGAAACAAAAAACGGTCAAGTGCGAATGGAGAAGAGTTCCCGTTCAATCTTTTGGAGGGGAGTTTGTTGACCTCTAAAACCTGGTCGGGCTGAATGCTGGGAGCCCCAAGAAAGTGCTCCAAAACGGGGATCCCAGAAATGCTCACTCTCGTTCGTGACCGAACTCGCTCACTCTCCCAGTGGGTTCAGTCACTTCACAACCGAAATAAAGGTCACGAGAGACTTCAGGGGCTACCTTTGACTCGGGTTGATGTCACTTTTCCGAAGAATCGGGGCCTTCGCCGTCCTGCCGGTTCTCACCCCCCTTCCTGGCTCCCCGCACCCGCCTGGCCGCGGCCGGTCCCTCGAAGAGCTCCGTCGCAGTGGCCTGCCGCAGCTGTGCCCAGCGTCGGGCGGTGCTGCCTGCGGACGCGACAGAGCGGTGTGCGGACGCGAGCGTTGGGGTGTCCGGAACCGACCTTCAGCGAACCCTCCCTTAATCCCCCCTTAAGCCCCCCCTTAAGCCCCCCCCCTTAAGCCTGCCCTTAAGCCCCCCCTTAAGCCCCCCTTCGTCCCAAGACCTTAAGCCTTCGGCGAAGCCCCCTTAAGCCCCCCTTAAGGGGGGTCTTCGCCGAAGGGTCAGAACCTTCGACCTTCGGCGAAGCCCCCCTTCGCTGAAGGTCCCGGGCCCATACTGCTCCAGTCTGCGGTGATCCCACGAATTGATGTGGTTTGTTCGATACATGGCTGTGGGTCATGGTTTCACTCTAATAGGTGCCATCGTCGAGACTCGACTCATTCTCATTGTGGTCATTCCATCGTCGGTCCCCCCTGTTGCCATGACGCCCTGCTCCCGTGATCACGGACGCCTTCTTTTTGGGTGGACTGGCCCACCTCATAGGGGGTATGCTGGAGGATGCTTTCGGACAGAACTCATAAAGACCTGCGTTGCATGAGTCAACCCCACGACGGGCGACGCCTGTGGTGAGCAGCAAAACGAAGTTTGAGACCTTGGATGGAGACCCACACGCGGCTGCATTGGTGTTTCGATATTCGATACAGAACACGGCAAGCCAATGCCAGCAAAACTCGTTGACCAGCGCCCAAGCCTGCAGATGCTGCTGGGTCTCATCCCGAAAGCTCAATGGATTAGCTGGAGCATGACTAGGGCTTCGACCAACCACTGCCACAGGGGAAGCTCTTCATCAAGCAAATCCTGCAGGACATCTGCCTGCAGGCGCCGCTTTTCATCACCCTACACCGTGGGCAGGGCCCAAACCATGACTTCGTGATAGAACCAAATGCGCATCTTCTCGAAGCTTCCAAGCCTGTGTGGGAAAACGTCCAAATGTCTGTCTGTGGTAAAGGAAAAGGCTTTTGCACTTTGATGGTGCAATTGTGGATGTCCATACCCTAGTTTGTCCACAGACAACCACAGGTTTGTCCATGAGTGGCGCGTAAATTTGGTGGATCAAAGGTCCATCCAACCAGGATCTTCTCAAGCAGGAAACAACCTCCAGTTAGGTACCCCTGACCAGTGTGACTGTTGAGGTTACGGCCCTTGCAAACCATCCAAGCATCCAACGTGTTTAGAGTGTCAAGCAGTCAACCACTCCACTGATCCAGTCAACCACTGATCCGTCGGCCGGCCTGCTGTTTCGATAACAAGTTCAGCTTTCGGTCCTAAGTTCACACCCGCACCAATCCCACACAACGACGGACGTCGCTGGGTTTGGGGAGGTCGATCATTTGGAAACATGGGTCCAGCCAAATGAGCTCAGAAAGGATCTAATCTAATCATGGGTCTAGGGTCTTTTTCTGTACTTTGTGGGTTAGACGATTGGGTGTGTTTTTGGACCAGATCCTCCCAAAAAAGAAGGAATACAAAACACAACGTTTTTCGTCACGGGTTTTTTCCTGTTTGAAAAACCATATCAGTTTGACCACGCACCAAACGTTCATGTTTAGGACTTCCACATGAGCGATGCCCACCATCAGTTCGCCAAAGACGGGTGTGATTCCGTCGACTTAGACCACTTTGCCAGGAAGATTCCCTCGAAAATCGTACGGAAATGGCATTCTTGTTGGGGTAGCAAACCACTGGTGTCATACCCAGATCCACTTTTGTAGAGGCGTCCTGACCAAGTATGTCAAGTTGAAGCTTTACATTTCATCGGCAAGTTGCTGCGCAAGCCGAAAGGAACACGTCCAGAGCGGGCATTGGTTCATCTAAGAACAGCAACAAAGGAATGCCCTTGAGCACCTCAGCTCTATCAGCTGGATCGGACATGACTTCTTTGTGTTGAGCACCGAAAAGCCTCAGAACCTTGCTCTCCATGCCTGTGTCAAACCCGGCACTTTTGGACTTTTGGGTTCTAAGCTTCTGGGGTCCTTGCACCAAGCTGCTTACCATGGCTAAGCTTCCGGTACGAGGTCTTGCAATGTCACAAGAAATCCCAAAACGGGTTCTGGGGACCTTCAACCCAAGGCTGCAGAAAAAGGAAGTTCAACCCCCCTCGCTTGAGGCAATCTGTTTGGCCCTTTTGAAGTGAACTGACCTGCGCTTGTGAACTGGGGCGCTCAATGAGGCTGGGGTTCATGACATGCTTGGCACGTCTTTCTGGTAGTTCTGTCTTCTAGTCATCTGCCGACCCCTTTGGAGGAAAGACGGAACATGAGCGAGAACGGCGAGAATGGCGTGTGCGGAACAACGCCCCTGTGAGGAGCCGGTGATCCGATCGCGTTTTTTTGGGCACAGCCGTGCCACATGCTCCTGATAGAACTCCTCCTCCGTCAACCCTGAGCGATTTCTTCGCGGGATCTCCGTCAACGCTGAGGCCGCGCAGCCAGGCACAATGCCCTGAAAAATGCCGCAGCAAAGCAGTGCCAGCAGAAAGTGGAAAAGTAGCTCATGGCAACATGTCTTAGGGGCCTTGCCTACCTTTGCCATCCAAGCGTCCTGAAAATGGTGAAAGTAGTTTGGACCCTTCTTGATCGATCGTCCTTACCCACCAAAGGTTGGGCCGTAATTCCAATCTGGGCCGCCACTCCATTTGTGGAGGATGTTCATCAAGCACGCTCACCTCATCTGTAGAGATGAACTCTGGAAGCCCTGCCTCAGGCTCCTCCACTTGCCCCAAGTAAGCCAGGAGGATCAAGATCCTCAGTGCAACGCTTCGATGCCTTGCGGCAGCGAGTCGAAGCCAATCTTCGACATCGGTCGGTGAAGTGACGCTGGCTCGACACCGACACCGACACCGGAGGGAAAGAGGAGGTGGGAACGGACCTGACCCGGGGAGTGCCTGGGATTCTGGGCTGCGAAGGCTGTGAAAGAAGCCCCAAAATTCAGTGCCACACCTCATCAGCTGCCCAGATCCGTTTTTCGGGCCGAACGAAGCCATTGTTCCGGCGGGTGGCCTTGTGAGACCCGTCAGACCCGTAAGAAAGCCGAGCGACCGAGACAGTGGCACCAAGGGAAACTACAGGTTTGACTAGACGTCTTTATTCAAATGCATATAATATATGCGCATAATATACAATATATGTGTATATATAGAGGGGGGTCTCTCTCTCTCTCTATGTATATATATGAAAAAGTTATATGCGAAGGAACCCATGTTTTAGACTGGCGCTTGGGCCCGGGTTCACCCTCAGTTGGAGATGGAGCTGGCCTTAGCGAGATGCGTCGTTCCACGATTTGGGTTGCAACCTTGGATCCACTACGTGGCCCAGGTACAAAACACACCATTTCACGCAATACTCTGCCGAACTCCTAGCCCTCTTCACACAGATCGGCATGTGGCCTGGTGTTCCAGCTCGTTTGAGGTGTTCCAGTACCAATCACTTGCCTTCCGAAGACCAAGGTGAAGATGGTGAGGTCGACTTGGACGAAGCTTCCTGCTTCTTTCAAAGCTCCTCTTTTTGTTAGACCCTCAAAACCCGGAAAGTCTTACCCAAAACAGCTCAAAACCCGCACCGACCCCGTTCGTCACCATTGCTCCGAGCGACAAGGAGCTTCCAAGAATCCAGGGCGCCAGGGCCGTGGCCACGGCCGCCATTCCGTGGTGGGAGGGGCGGATTCAGCTCTGAGAGAGTCCTTCAGGTCACTGAGCTGGCGCATTCGCTGAGTGTGGGGGTTGTTCAGCTGCATGCAGAGTGTGCCGAAGACAGAAAGAAGTGCCTGGGTGCAGGGTTTAGTCTTTGGTGTCTGAATCTGGACCTGAAGCAATCTTTGTTATGAGGATTTCTGTAGTGATTTTGGTGGATCTATCAGTCGAAATGCCTGAAAACAAACTGGAAGTGTCCGGTGGCTGGTTGACCCACTCTTGGCGGTGGCCGATCAATGAAGAATCAGTTGTAGATTCCAACTCACAAATCTGTGTGAGAACTTTGGTGGCTTAAGATAAGTGTGATAATCCAGCAAGCGGATATGGCTATGGGCGAAGCAAAACTTCAGAGCCCACAAAAGCGGGGACAACTCCAGAGAAATCCCTCTAAGAAAGAAGACTACATAGTCAATGTAGCTCTTGAACTGATCGACCAGTGTTTTGCCACTGAATTACACTTGTCATGCTCGGTCTCACAGCGTCCAACGTCCTAAGGTTCCTACCCATAGACCCCATCATCCTATCCCCAGACTCAAAACGAAAATGTCTCCCATTTCAGTGTTCTGATTACTCCTCTCCCAGACTCGTCCAAAGCACCCAGAGTGGAAGTGTCATAATCAGATCTACCCCTCATCTCAGAAAACCTCCTTCGTACAGCTCCCCAAGAGAAGATCTGGGTGATTTGTCCAATGCAAGTACCTCCTTCGCACCCACCGCGAGGTGCGAAATCACACACCGCCGCACACCCATCTGTGGCCGTCCGACTGTACAGGTTCTGGACCTGCTCGACGCCCTTGGGATGCCCGCCAGTCAAGGCCTGAAAGCAGTGTAGCTCCAGTTTCGGCAGAAAACAAGGGCCGACAGGAGTGAGTAGGCCTGAGTAGGCACGGTTTCCAAGACATTTGAGTGGGGATCTACGAACTTCTATCTGTTTGGGGTTCTCTATATGGCTGTGGGTATTATTGCTATATGACCACAGGGAGTCAGGGAGTTTTATAATTGCTGTTCGTGCTCATTCCAGGTATTATTGCTCTATGATCTCTATGGCCGTGGTTGACCTACACCACACCAGGTTGGTCGGTCGGGCTCGCTACGTACAAGGTGGACTGGTTGAGAAATTGAATTGTGCAACCCCTGCAATCAACTCGTCAGTGCTTCACAACAAACCCACTGACCAATATGAAGTATTTTTGGAAAACGCTGCCCTGGCCGCCGCTTGTGGCCCTACTTCCGAAGATCTCGCCGGTTGTGGTCCTTCCAGGTTTGAGGTCGAGGTGATTGAGAAAACTGATCTTCCCAAACCCCTCTGGTGACATGAAACGAAAGGACGTCAAACAAATCAAAAAATTAACTTTAAAAAAATCAGTCACTCTCATCCATCCAAACCATCTCCCAAAAATGAGCTCTCCAACAAAAAGAATATGCGCCGGAAGACCCCCAAACGGTCTTCCCCAAAGGATCTTCCTGTCGCACCTGCACCGGCAGGCCCGCGGGTCTCCGGACCTCAACAGTGTTCTTTCCAAATACTGTCACCTATGTCATGTATTTAAATTGTATTTGAAAAGATGTATTTATATAATATATAAATATACATATGCAAGTTTGTCCAAAAAGAAGTATCTACCAGTTCGACTCACGGCTTGGTCAACCTCCACGACCCATCTCTGAAAGACCCAACGCACTGAGTAGGACACCAAATCAAGCTGCATCAGTCTTCGCTACGCCTGGCACGGTTGGATGATTTTGACAAACCTTTTGAATCAAACGGTTTTGTTGCAAACAGGCCTTCGATTGCCTCAAACACCTGCAAACAAGACAGCAGTACGCATTAATCCATCAATGCACCTCTGCTCAAAACAGGCTCTCTCATCTGAACCAAGCAGCTTTGGTCAAAGGTCCAAGCGGGGGCAAATCAAGACCAAAACAAAGGCAACTCAAGCGCGCTTCCAAGGTCACGTCCAACTGTTCTGTTCAAACCGCTTCTGGACCAAACCACAGTATCTGAAGGTTATATATGTTGGTTTTGACTCTTCAGCGAAATCAATAGCCATTTGGCTACGGATGAGGATGGAGGCGGACTATGGCGATTTGTTATTGAAGGGTTTGTGTGCATCTAAATATAAATATGTATATATATATATATAAATATATAAATTGTTTTTGCAAATTCAATACCATCCATCGGCTGACTCCAAGCAGAATCACTCTCCGAATTAACACCCTGTCTCCATGTCAAGATGAGCTGAATATGCACAAAACACAATCAACCATCATCGATGATACATGAGCCTTCTAACAAAAATCCAGCCCGCTGGAACTTTTAGGAACGGTTCCTCCAATGCTGGGTAACAAGGCGTGACTGTTAAAACACGCGTGCCATCGTTTCTACCCTTCATTAGCCGGCCCTGCACCACAAACCATTGACAACCCGCTTGGTTTGATGTTTTTCGAAACCAACTGTCCAACCCCTGCGGAAGAGCGACATATTCTTGGATATCCCAATGAATGGTCCTGAAGTTTGACCCTTTTTTTGGAAGTCCCAAAAGTCACCGACAAAGAAATAGTTGCAAAATGACAATTCATTGCGAAGAACCTGTGAAAACATGGACACACAAAACCAGCGTTTTTTTTTCGAGACGCACACTCAGAACTTGCTAGGTGCTGATATATGTTGAAAATATACAAATTTGTGGATGATCAACATGATGACACACATTTTGTCTCCTGAACGTGTGGCATGACTGAGCAAACACACTTTTTCAATGGGGATCAGAGCTTTCAACGGCGGATTGGGCGGTCAAAGTGAGCCCGGCCCTCTGTGCCCGAAGTGCCTGAAGTGGACATGAATTGACTTCGCGTGTTGCGGTCCAGCCGCGCATCGCGAGGAAACTGAGCGAGGAAGGTGAACTTGAGAGACGTTGTGCCACTTTAAAGCCTCCAAGCAAAAAACCCTCTCCGCCACAAAAAACCTGCAAATAGCGTGGTTTGAGGCAGCTTAAGGGTGCGCTTAAGGGGCTTAAGGGGGGGCTTAGGGGGGGCTTAAGCTTCGGTACCTTCGGCGGGCGGGGTGAGGGAGGGGACCTTCGTAGGGGCTTCAGGGGGGGCTTAAGCCCCCTTCGAAAGCCTCATCCTCATTCTCAGGGTCATAGGGAACCATTCTGCGAGTTCACCAATACCACAAGTTCGATTAGACCAATCCTGCTCATCTCCACTGTTCTCACCCAATGGCTCTTCAGGTCTATACTCCATATCCCCCCATCTACGACGAAATCTTCCAAAGAACCTTATGAAGCCCATGGAACGATCCAGCCATAGATACACTAAGGGTCTGAATTGGCTGTGTGGCCACTACTCATTCCCAAGCTCATGAAGAACCTTCTCTTCACCCCAACCTTCTTGCCCACACATAGACATACATGAAGTCAGGTTGTACCAAACCTGGCATGCTCAGCATGCTCCCAATATTCACCCAACATTGCCAAGGACATTCTTTCTCGTGATGCCACCCCCAAGCTCAAAACCTCATTGGACCTCACCAACACCCACCCAAAAGTAAACCAAATTGTGCCAAAAATATGCTCTACCAATAGCATGCATCATGAGGATCAACCAATGTTGTACCCAACTGGTTCTGATCTTCCATTGGGCCACCTAACCATGCACACAAACCCATTTGCACCAGGCATTCCATGGACCCCGTCCTCATTCATTGCCTGGCAAGTTTCTCTCTCACATGGTGCCCATGTGCTCTTGGAGGCCAAACAAACCCAATCGAAGCACCATCCATATTGCGCTGCTGTCTGGGGCAATTGCTCAATGGCTTGTATAGCAATACAATTTGCTCAAAGTCATCCTTTACAGCCACAACCCCAATGCCAGCTGTTCGATGCACCCAATGCTTCATCTCATCTCATCTCATCTCATTTCATCCACATTGCAAGTTCCATTTTCCTGTGCTCTCTAGCTATATGCCCATCTCCAAATCAAACTCTTCCACACTCCACCATTGAGACCACACAGCAAAGGTATTCACCCTCACCACATAGAGCCTGAATCCCCCATTCCTTCTCCATGTTCTGATAGGCAATGATCCGATTGGCATGGCTCTGCTCTGTCAGATCTCTCATCAAGCTTTTGCAAAACTACTAGCTGCTAGCTCTCATTCCCACACAGAAGTCCATCAACCATCATCTATCAGCAAGTTCAGGACATCACATCATACGTCATCAGATCATCACCTCTATGAGGGGGATCTTCTCTCCAAGACCTCCAATCTCAACAGGAGCGAAAAAAAAGGTCGCCCAATCCCACGAGCAATTTTTTCTTTTTTCACCCCCCCCCTGCCCAGGCCCAGCTGGAGATTGAAGATTCATTGAGGCTTGGTCAGGTGGCCTCTGTCCAGCATTGCAAAGGATCAGCTGATCTCCCACAAGCTCGCTTGAAATGAGTGCCACGGAGCCCAAGTTCAGCAACATTGCTTTCTGGTGCGCACTTACGGTGCCTAGCGAAGCTCCCTCCAAGAGGGAGCAGGTGTAGCACATCTCAAGCAGGCTCCCTAACAGCAGCTAAGCCCTCAGGCAAGTGCTTTGGCAGGACAACAAAATCGACTTCAGCGGACTCGCCCATCATGCAAGGCTCCAGTGAAACATGGTGAAACTTGGTAAGGCTGGTGTGGTACAAGGTTGGAGGCACGGACCCACCCCCAGGCCAAGAACTGAGGTTCTCACCTGGGTTCCAACCAACTGTACATCCTACCGGTGCCTGCAGACACAGGTCGAGAATCTAAGGTTCTCGCCTGTGTCAGCTCACTGGGAGTACAGACGTGGACATGTTGATCTCTGAGTGATGACGACACTAAACTTGTCTCTTCTCTCTGTGCGTGTTGGAGACCTGTGTGCGTCTAATCTTTCGCCTGCATGGCATCCACGATGTGGCTCATTTTGGACTCAGGCCAGTCCGAATTCCCAGATCGGAATAAGATGAAGCCGCTCTGGTTCTTCAAAAACGATCAACTGTCTGCGCCACAGCTGTCCACGCGCAG